ATATATGGAAAATGATTTGGTGAGCCATCTCACCTACAGAAAAAGAGTGAGCCGAACGGCTCTTATTTGTTCTTGAAATCAAACGGTTGTGGTTTCGTGAGGCAGCAACAACTAATAATTGTGCGCACTGACACTCTCTCTCTAGCCTATGCACCGCATCTCTCCCTGTACTAACTCTCGCCTTAGTGAAACCATCTCTCTCTACGTAAAGTCTGGCATCCCTCTCTCTCTCCCCTGTGAGCCTGCTCCCGCCCTCTCCAGATCCCGTGAGCCTCCTCCCATTTTCTCTCTCTTCTCTCTCCAATGAGCCTCCTCGCCTCTCTCTCTACTGTGAGCCTCATCCATCTTTCTTTCTCTCTCTCCCCCCCAAGAACAACAATCAGTCTCCTCACTCAGCAACCCTAAATTTGCAAACTCAGCAACCCTAAATTTGCAAAATCGGCAACCCTAGATTCCGTGGACTCTGGAATCTCTCTCACTGGAAGTCTCCTCCATTCTCAAGAACTCTAAATCAAAAATATTGGTTTCAATCAACCATTCATAGCAAGGTACGAATTCAATTTACTTTTGGCATGGTTTCATGGAGTTCTTCTTGAATATTTTTAGCTGCATTTTTTCAGAGCTATTTCACTTTATATCATCTATGTGTTTCATCTCTGCATATTATTAATCCGCCAACTCCTAAATCTATGGACTTTTACGATTTTACATCAAAATGGATTATGCAAATCTTACAAAATTACATCTCTGACATTGCAGTTTGGAGATCATTCATCGATGCAGTAATTTTTTATGTGAATATTGGGGATTTAGGTTTACATTTTTGTGGATTTAATTATGTCTTTGTCTTGTAGATTTACAATGGAATTTTTACCCATATTTCTTCACCATTGTCACTCTGGAAACGATTCCAATATTTTCTTTGCTCTGCCATCACCATCATCACTCTGCAAAATCTCCATCTTGATTTGTTTTCTCTATCTCTCTCATCTTAGTTGAATCCGAATTTTTATAAGAAGAGGCTCAAATCCGTGGCAAAAACAACTCCAAATACCAAAGTAATATAGTTATGAATTTAGATTTTCATTTTATCTATATTGTGCTTATTTCCTTAACGTGACAATTTGAGGAAAGTGTTTATCTTCTTTGCCTGAATATTTTAATATTAGGTTATGTGAAGTCCTAATATGGAGTTTTTTTTTTTTTTTAATTGTTGAATGGCATCTATTGATGTTGCTCTGTTAAGTGATTGATTTTTTTTTATTAACTTTCAATCATCAAACATTTTGGTTTGTTAATGGTTCAAACAGGGTGGAATTGATGTTCCTATGTGAAGTCATAATTTGGAGAAATATTTTACCGAAATTGTCGAATGGCATCCATTGATGTTGCTCTGTTAAGTGATTGAATTTTTTTCATTAGGTTTGTTTACTTTCAATCATCAAGCATTTTGGTTTGTTAATGGTTTAAACAGGGTGGAATTTTTTGGTTTTTCAAACCATATATCATACAAAACCTGTCATAAATTCCAAACCCAATTGAGCATATTTTTGGTTTTTCATTCAAAACCTGCCATAAATTCCAAATCCAGTTGGGCACTTCTACCATATTTTTGGTTTTTCAAGCCATATATCATACAAAACCTGTCATAAATACCAAACCCAATCAGGCACTTTTACCATATTTTTGGTTTTTCAAGCCATATATCATACAAAACCTGTCATAAATACCAAACCTAATCAGGCACTTTTACCATATTTTTGGTTTTTCAAGCCATATATCATACAAAACATGTCATAAATACCAAACCCAATCAGGTACTATCCCAAGATAACGAGACAGCCCCAAGATAAGAAATCAATACAAACAATAAACACACCACAAAAAGTAAAAGATACATGGTCCCATAAGAGAAAAACATGTCAAATGGCAAAGTTCGAAGACATCCATAAAAAGTAAAAGACACATGGTCCCATAAGAGAAAAACATGTCAAATGGCTCCAAAAGGAACACCCTCCAAAAGGCGTATTAAGTTTACAAATAATTAACCATGAAACAAGGTAAATTCATCGACAGAAGGTAGTGCAAGCATTGTTTTCTTACTTGGAACATCAAGTGAAATGTGAAGTCCTCCATCAATCGGTGTCTGCAACTGTATGAACATCAGTAAGTAATAGAACCACGGATAGAAGTACCACTTTATTGAATATAATGCAGATCTCTAAAGATTATTACCATTACTCAGCATGTTCCACATTCTCACACGACCCATCCGTGCATCTGATATTTACGTTTAACCTAAACAAAGAAAACCCATTTCAAATATTTATATTTAAAGAATTCATATTAAAATCACATAGAGTACGAGAAAAGGAGTAATAGTTCATTCACACTTTGAACATACAAGAGATGGACAATTCCTTTTGTTATGTCCACTCCCTTGCAAACTGCGCACTATTGGGTAACTTCCTTCACTCTCGCTTTCGTTTTCTCTGCCTCTATCTCAGCCCGAGATACATATATATCATTGGTAGGTCTCCCCTTTATTCCCGATCAATTCTCTTTCCGTCCTTATTCGTTTGAGTACTTCCCTTTCTGACACCAAACCCTTCCCCCAATGCAAAAGCCTTGTAAAATTCATATGCATCATTTTCATCATTGAATTTCATTCCTACACTGGGTTCCTCTATTTCAGACCCCTTGGACGACAACGCATGTTCCCCGTTTTCAAGATTTGTAAACTTATTGGGGGGAGGGGTTGCTAGCAAGGGATCTTGCTCCATGAACTCTACAGTATCCCCCATGTTGTCATTCTCTGACAATAAGGGAGATGCCACATTTGTTGAAAGGGTGAGGTCCATCTTAGGTGCTAATCTTCCCTACACAAATCACGAAATCTTTGTCAATTAATGACTTCAACACTTCAGATATTTTTTAAAAAATGATTTTACAATTTCCATTTCTATTCTCTTGCAGGTTCAATTCCACCCTGTTTGAACCATTATCAAACCAAAAATGCTTGATGATTGAAAGTAAACAAACCTAATGAAAAAGAAATCAATCACTTAACAGAGCAACATCAATGGATGCCACTCAACAATTTTAAAACAAAAAATCTCCAAATTAAGACTTCACAGAGCAACATCAATTCCACCTTGTTTGAACCATTAACAAACCAAAATGCTTGATGATTGAAAGTAAATAAACCTAATAAAAAAAATCAATCACTTAACAGATAAACATCAATGGATGCCATTCGACAATTTCGGTAAAAAATTTCTCAAAATTAGGACTTCACAAAGCAACATGAATTCCACCCTGTTTGAACCAGTAACAAACCAAAATGCTTGATGATTGAAAGTAAACAAACCTAATGAAAAAACATCAATCACTTAACAGAGCAACATCGATGGATGCCACTCGACAATTACAAAAAATCTCCAAATTAGGACTTCACATAGCGACATCAATTCCACCCTGTTTGAATTAGTAACAAACCAAAATGCTTGATGATTGAAAGTAAACAAACCTAATGAAAAAAAATCAATCACTTAACAAAGCAACATCAATGGATGCCATTCGACAATTTCGGTAAAATATTTCTCAAAATTATGACTTCAAAGAGCAACATGAATTCCACCCTGTTTGAACCATTAACAAACCAAAATGCTTGATGATTGAAAGTAAACAAACCTAATGAAAAAAAATCAATCACTTAACAGAGCAACATCAATGGATGCCACTCGACAATTTTAAACCAAAAAATCTCAAAATTAGGACTTCACTGAGCAACATCAATTTCACCCTGTTTGAACCATTAACAAACCAAAATGCTTGATGATTGAAAGCAAACAAACGTAATGACAAAAAATCAATCACTTAACAGAGCAACATCAATGGATGCCATTCGACAATTTTGGAAAAATATTTCTCCAAATTATGACTTCACAGAGCAATATGAATTCCACCCTGTTTGAACCATTAACAAACCAAAATGCTTGATGATTGAAAGTAAACAAACCTAATGAAAAAAAACCAATCACTTAACAAAGCAACATCAATGGATGTCACTAGACAATTTTAAACCAAAAAATCAATCACTTAACATAGCAACATCAATGGATGCCATTCAACAATTTGAAAAAAGAAAAAATCTCCGGATTAGGACTTCCCAGAACCAAACATTAAAATATGCAGGCAAAGAAAATAAACACTTTTACCAAATTGTCACGTAAAGGAAATAACCACAATATAGATAAAATGAAAATCTAAATTCATAACCATATTACTTAGGTATTTGGAGTTGTTTTTGCCACAGATTTGAGCCTTCTTATAAAAATTCGGATTCAACAAAGATGAGAGAGATTGAATAAACAAATCAAGATGGAGATTTTACAGAGTGACAATGGTGATGGCAAAGCAAAGCAAATACTGGAGTCGTTTGAAGAAATATGCGTAAAAATTCCATAGTAAATCTACAACACAAAGACATAATTAAATCCACAAAAATGTAAACCTAAATCCCCAATATTCAAATAAAAAATGACTGCATCTGTGAATGATCTCCAAACTGCCATGTACGATTTGCATAATCCATTTTGATGTAAAATCGTAAAAGTCCATAGATTTAGGAGTTGGCGGATTAATAAAATACAGAGATGAAACACATAGATGATATACAGTGAAATAGCTCTGAAAAAATGCAGCTAAAAATATTCAAGAAGAACTCCATAAAACCATGCCAAAAGTAAATTGAATTCGTACCTTGCTATGAATGGTTGATTGAAACCACTATTTTTTATTTAGAGTTGCTGAGAATGGAGGAGGCTTCCAGTGAGAGAGATTCCAAAGTCCACGGAATCTAGGGTTGCTCATTTTAGGGATTTAGGGTTGCTGAATTTGGGGATTTAGGGTTGCTGAGAGAAGAGGCTGATTGTTGGTCTCGGGGGGAGGGGGGGAGAGTGAGAGATGAAGCTCACAGTAGAGAGAGAGACGAGGAGGCTCACCGGAGAGAGAGAGACAATGGGAGGAGGCTCACGGGATTTGGAGAGGGTGGGAGCAAGCTCACGGGGGAGAGAGAGACGGTTTCACCGATGCAAGAGTTTAGGTACAGGGAGAGATGCCATGCGCAGGCTAGAGAGAGAGTGTCAGTGCGCACAATTATTGGTTGTCGCTGCCTCACGAAACCACAACCGTTCGATTTCAAGAACAAATAATAGCCGTTCGGCTCTTGTAGGCGAGATGGCTCACCAAATTATTTTTCATATATATATATATATATATGAGAGAGAGAGAGAGAAATGATCTAATGCAACGGTTATATAGAAAATCACATTTTTGGCATTCGTATGACCTCAAATTTTGCACACACATTCTCTTTATCCTCACAATCAATTGTACGAAGAGAAAAAATTCAATTTGAACCATAGATGTGGTCAAAATTACTATTCATCCAATAATGAATCTCAACCATTTATATGGTAAATTTCAAGATCTAGGCCTTAGTAAATTTAAAATCACTTTTTTGCTTTTTATCATTATTAATCTAATGATGATAACGCTATATAAAAATTTTGGGAATAGAAAAATCCTTCTGAAGCCTATATCTAACCATCTCAATAAAATAGACGGTTTATGTTAATTGGGCTAGAATGAAAACTTTCTATAGCATATTTTCAATTTTTTTTTTTTTTTCTTTTTCAAAATGAAAAAAGTGTACATTTAAAAATTCATGTCAAACAAATGTCTTTAACATGGTTTTTGAAGATGGTTGCATTATACTACTATACAACCGTTGCATGAAATCATTCCCCATATATATATATATATATATATAAAAGATCCCAAACAAACTATTGTTTTATCAGATAATGATAAAGGAAAAGCAAAAATCCCTGAACATGATAATATGACTCTACAAGAAGAAATACTTTTCCAAACCAATGAAACCAAAGAACCACCAATTGTCAACACAATAGAAAATATCCAAACAACGTTTTTTGAAATTCAAATTACTCCAAATACGATAAATCGAATTAATTACAGTAAAAATTGGCAACCAATAAATGCCCGACCATATTATAAAAGACCAACCCCAGTTGATATCCAATTAGAAGAAGACCTCACTAGTCATACTTCTACATATACGGGTCGAACGATTATAGATTGGAATATTGATGGAATTTCTGATCACCGAATATTAGATACAATGAAACATATGACTATGTATGCTTCGGCATGTAAAATGGCTGGTAGTCATGATCAAGAAATAACAAAAGCTATAGTTTCAGGATTCACCGGATAGTTAAGAAGATGGTGGGATTCCTATCTCAATGAACAAACAAAACAACAAATATTAACTAATACTCGGCAATGGACAGCAAAAAATGAGCACAACCAGGATATGGTATATTCTGAAAGTGATGCTGTCAATTCCTTAATCTATACAATTGCCCTTCATTTTATAGGAAATACTTCAATACTTGCAGCACGAACTGCTGATCTTTTATCTAATCTACGATGTCCTACACTATCACACTATAAATGGTATAAAGACGTATTTTTCTCTCGCTTACTCATACGTGAAGATAGTTATCTTGACCACGGGAAAGAAAAATTTGTAGTAGGATTACCTTATCTATTTGCTGAAAAGGTTAAAGAACGTTTAAAAAATAAAAATAGTGGTGTCATCAATTACTCTCAATATTATAAATATTCTGAGTATATTGATGCATGGCACAAGGTATTCTCTTACCAAAATCCAAATAATACGCATTCCTGGTATTTGCAATTCAAACTCCCTATTCTCGAAAGATTCCCAAATTGGTTCCGCCATTGGTTCTTATTATGGGGATCACATACCCAAATTTTACCCGATGCTTTCCAAGCCTTACAGACAAAATTTGCAGAATATAATACTTGTACTGACCAAGATGATTTCCATCTCTACTTCATAGCTATCTACCAAATACCCTGGATCCTAAAATGGGAATACTCTATTTCTGAGAATAATACTAATAATTATGAGTATATTCCCAAACTTGGCAAAACCTTGAAAATCAAATGGTGGGATATTTTCAGTACTAATCCTGCCTCCTTACCCCTTAAACGAATACCGCCTCAAACTAATGTCTTCAACCCACCAGCATATAATACTGTCAGTTTACCCACATTTTCGGCCTATCTAAAGAAAATGAAACAAGCACATTCTAATGCTACCTTAGAAGAAATAGAGCAGAATCTTCTTCATATATTTGCTCTTGATACTATTGCACCAACAACTTCAGAAGAAACTATCCAATCAGGCAATCCCTTATTTGACGACTTCAGCCAAAAACCCGATGCTTAACACGGCCTGACAGTCCAGCCGGCCGGATAGTCCAGCCCGAGATGATCCAGATAAATAACTCCACTGTTCGTTGATATGACCTCACCATCATAAGAGACAAGTAAAGATTCCCTTTTCATAAAGTGACAAGACATCTCAATAGTAATTCATAAAGAGACAAGACATCTCAATAGTAAAGATTCCCTTCTTCATAAAGTGACAAGACATTTCAATAGTAAAGATTCCTTCTTTACCAATGACAAGACACCTCCAAATAGTAAAGATGCACTTTGATCGATGTGACTAATTTGGGGTCAAATCATAGTCACGCTCCTACCGACGTGGCATCGTCTCCTTCTTCGTTGCTCACACGTATCGCCACTATTCCGACAAACAAAAGATTCGCCATCATGTCAATCACCATCCCAACGACTGGCTACTCGCTGCACCTGCCACGTATCCCTCTCCAGGTTCCTTCATCACTACGCTAACGAACCTCAGCCACAAGCTTCCCTTCACCTTATCCCCAGGTTCCTTCGTCGTCACGCTATCATCCACAGCCACAAGTTTTCCTGGGTCATTCCTCTACAAATACCCACTCAACCAGTTGAGAAAGGTAGACTGGATTAAGGACGCAGCAGCAGCAGCAGCAGAAACTCTCAAGCCCTCATATGCTCTCTATGCTCTCTCATATTCTCTCTTCTTATTCTTCTTCTTCTTCTTCTCTCTTTCTGTAGGCAGTAGGTTAGTTACTGCATTCAGTCACCTGTACATCGACAAAGTCGGTAACTTCCATATGACTTCTTTATTTTAAAATGTGTGATTGTAATCTATCTTCCTTACCTTCCTACTATCCTTCTGAGTGGAAAAAGTTTGCCAGTCTCTGTATATGTAATCAGTAAGTTATGCAATTTAAATTTGTTTTTACATTTAAAATTTGTGACTATACTCATACTTCGTGGATCATATTTGATATATCCTTGCTTCCTGTTTTAATTATCCTATTTGTGTTTCTATATTATGTTACTATTCTGCAACAATTAATTACTTATAACTCTGCAATCTTTTCATATTTAAGATAAATAGTAGTAACTGCTTAGGGTAGATCTTGCGGCAAAAATGGTATCAGAGCCAACCCTGTTTTAGAGATCTAACAGTTACTACTAGTTCTTCTATCTTAAGAAACTTAATAAATTAATCCATTAAAGAAAGTTGGTCCGAGAATTGAGGTTAGAGACGCTCAGGACACCCAGTCAGTTGACCGTTTAGGCCAGGAGAGCCGCTGAGGTCTAGAGGACGTAAGAGGTAGTCAAGGAGGACTATCCAGATAACACTCAACTGCAACCTAATAACGGAAAAATTTATTAAGAATCTGACGGATAAAACAACTAGTACAACTAATAGAACTCTAAGGATAAAAAACAAAGAAGAAATTGTTATCAATGATATTGAAAACCAAATACAAAATTAGAACATACCCAAAGTTCCAATATCAGATGTCTATAAGAAAGGCACATTCGATCTAAAAATCGGATATGTTATTAAAACAGTAGAAGAAACTTTATCTGTTACAAATAATCAGGAAGACTTTCAATTATTATCTCAAAAGATATTACAAGTCCATAAAGCAAAAAACTATAAATATTTACATGTAGGATTGATTCAAATAGCTGTAAAACCTTTGACTCGTTTAGGACTCAATGATTCTATCTTAGTCTGTTTACGTGATACAAGACATAATAGATTTTCTGATTCACTACTAGGAATGGTTGAATCTAGTTTATGTAGTGGACCAATATATTTCAACTGTTTTCCAAACTATTCGGTATCTCTTACAGATCCAAGTATTTTAAATGTTTTATCTTTAAATCTCAAAACTCAAGGATTTAATATGATGACAGGTTCTCAAAATATAGCCATTGTTTATCGAATCTATTACAAAGTAATGACTACATTATGTCCAAATGTACTCCAAATAGATACGAGATGACAAACAATATTTTTTCAAACCAATATGGAAAAATCAAATACAATTGTACCAAAAACAATATCATGGTCAGATATTGTTCTACCTCAAACATGGTCTATCCATAATGAAAACCAACCATCACAAAATCCCACTCAAAATATTCTAGACAAAATTATTGAATATACAGACGGAAATATTGAAATACAATTCACCACAAATAATAGAATTATGGATAATGCATCCATCTCAAGTACTTCAAGTACTCATTCTTTTCGAGATCCAGAACCTCCAAGAAAATCCATTACTGCTTATAATCGAATTCCTCATATAGTAAATATCCCATCAACACCAGTAAAACTACAAATTGATGAACTCCTAAGGACACCTGATAATATCATTATTCCCCAATACAAAAGAGCTTAAGAAGAACCTGCTGAAGCAGAATTCATTCAAGTATTACAACTTGAAGAAACATTCGATAAAGAATACGTTATAAAAGATTTTTTATCTCCAGAAAATAAAAATATTAGAGAATGGTATGTAAAAGAATTTGAACCTAGATTAGTAGAATTGTTTCACTCAAGATTTAACAAATGGAGAAAAAAGGGAAATAAAGGAACATGTTTTTTCGATTGGCTAAGAGACACCTTAAGCCAACACAATGTCCCTATTCCTTATTTTGAAATAAATACACTAGAAACTTTATTTAATACTACTGAAGGAAATACAATTAAAGCCATACATCCTCCTGAACAAAGCTTGAAAATACAAGGAGTTGCTACTATGGTATCAGCTACTAAAACTCCTATAGGATGCTCTTCTTTATCTTCAACCCAAATGGTTGTATATGAAGCAGTAGCTACACCATATAAA